AGGCGCTGGCACTGGAGGTCGTGCAAGGCACGGGCCACCCGAGCCGATGCTGCCCCGGGAGATGACCGCAGTCACTTGGTCTGATGCCACCAGGGCTGGAGAGGACACAGGCCCCGACCCGTGCACGCTGCCGACAGCCGTGGTGCACCTCTTCATGCAGTTGGACGCACATGTCCTCCCCTGGGCCACTTGACCCCGTGGGTGTGGTGTGTGGCCGCAGGTATGAGCCAGAGACCAGGACACGCCAACAGACCTGGGAGATGCTGGCAGCGACGCACCTCTGGGCACTGGAAACCTGGCCACGCTCCCGCTGCCGTCCGGGAACCATGGCAGGTGCCGCTCCCTTAAGCCCAGCACAGAGCCCACATGGAACAGGCCACATCGCACGAGGCAGGGCGCACCCCTGCTGTCCGGGGAAGAGTGGAGATGCTACGAGGGACAGGACACAGGAGGTGTGACCAGGCGGCATGACAGACAAGGAAGCACAGGGAGCACAGGCGTCCCTAAGGCCAGGAGGCCAGGGCTCGCACACGGATCAGTGAGGGACCCTGCCCACCCCAACCTACACTGCGGCCTGCAGAACCTGAGGCAGCAGTTGTACCGTCCGCAGGACTCCTAGGGCGACCTGGGAACACACGCAGAGCCAGACTAGTCCCTGCAGGGCGGCCCAGAGCAGCCACCCAGCAACCGAGAGGGCGCCCGTTTCCTAAGGGCTGCCCGTGCGCGAGACACCCACAAGAAGGGAAGCTGGTGTGTGCTCAGGGCTGGGCGAGGCAGTGTGCCGCACCAGCCCCCATCCCTTCCTGGGCAGTCACACTGTCAGGCACCCGTGGACCATGAGAGAAATGATCCACACAGGGCCTGTTACGGTTCAGACCAAAAACGTTCCCACAAAGCTCCTGCGTTCAGAGGCGGGACTTTCGACCAGAGCTTGATCACCCTCTCCCGACTGAGCCCCCGGAGCTCACAGTGGGATGGGCTGAGCAGGAGGCGGGGCCTGGCTGGGTGAGGCAAGTCAAGGGGTGTAGCTTGGAACGGGCTATGCGTCCGACTCCTCCCTCCCTGGCTCTTTCCCTTTTCCCTTCCAGGCTGCAGGATGTGAGCAGCTCCTCTGCCCCAGCTGCCCACCACGTGGGAGCCAGCTTACCATGGACTGAAACTCCTGAACCCGTGAGCCAAAATAAACCCTTCTTCAAGTGGTTAGGTCAGTGACAAGAAGCTCACCAAGTCTCGAAAGAACCATCTGGCAATGCCTTTTACAACACAGATTATCTGGTTGTAGTGGCAGACACTTGTAATGCCAGCTGCTCAGAAGGCTGAGGCAGGAGGATCAAAAATCTATGGACAACTTAGCAAAGACCCTATCTCAAACTGAAAAAAATAAAAAGAGCTGTGGATGGGGGGTCAAACCCCAACAACGAAAAAAAAAATTGACTTTCATAAAATTTGACAGAAAATACTACTGACTGATCTTTGTAAAACAGAAAAACTCAGCCCCATGACTGAGGTGTAGGACACATATCTAGCGTGCAGAGGCCCTGGGTTCAATGCCCAAAACAAAATGAAAAGCACATACAGAGATGCACTGCAGTTCTGGAAGAAGTGTACATATATAGGTTATCAATAGCTGCGAGGGAAATCCAGTTATTTTTAACGCCATGTGTGACTGTTACATGATCACCCCAAAAAACACTGCACACCTATTTCTACGCCAACAGACCCCAAGTTCACTGAGGGCAGCTGTGTCCGGTCAGGATGAATTATCCCATGTTGGGCCATGCAGGCTCTGCCTCTTTGCCGAGTTAGACCTGGCACATGTTTCCAGGGACACGTCACCTCTGGAGCCCGGGACACCACAGGCAAAGGGCCTAGGGGCAGCCTCCGTGTCCTGAGATGACGACCGAGTTGGGGGCAGGACGAGTGCAGTGTGCAGACACACAGGCTGTGGGCGGACAAACTGCATGCCAGATGGGTGAGCCGCTGGACGTGGAGGAGCCTGGGCAGAAGGAGCCCAGGGGACAGGCAATGTGTGGCACAATGCCACCCCATCAAGCGTGTGAAGGACTCAGGGCACACAGCCACGGCTGGCCGTGACTGTGGGGGTGGCTGGCAGTGGGGGGGTCATCACAGACTAGGTTGTGTTTTGAGCTGTTCTACAGGTTTGGAAGGAAAATAGGAAAGCAGGTGTGGCACACCTGTAATTCCTGCACTTGGAAGGCTGAGGCAGGAGAATCGCTAAAAGTGTGCGGCCAGCCTGGGCTACACAGTCCAAGCCTGCCTCAACTACACAGCGAGACTGTTTCACAACAAACGCCAGTGGCATGAACATGGATGTCCCACTACACCTTCAGTATGCACAGGGCAGGCCTGGAGCTTCCATGGGGAAAGGAGCAATCACTAGGCCCCATGCAGTAACCAGGCCCTGCCCGGCTGGCCTGCGGTCTGCCTGCTGCAAGGCCTCTCCTGCCCGTGGACTGTCCCCAAGCCAGGTCAGCAAGGCCTCCTCACACCACAGGACCATCCTGCTGGCCAGCAGGTAGCCCTGCTCCCGGACAGAGCTGTGCATCCCCAGTGTCGCTGCAGCCACGTGTGGCCACCTCTACAATTGCAACAGAAACACACACCCGAGGGGTGAGGCTGGCACCAGCCCTATACCCACTCCTGCTGCCGAGCCTTTACAAGGCTACTACTGCACCTTCAGGGGCTTCCCACTGGGGTTTTGCTGTGAAATAGGGTCTCGCTATGTAGTTCAGGCGGGCTTAGACTGTGCAGCCTAGGCTGGCTTCACACTTGTAGTGATTCTCCTGCCTCAGCTTCCCAAGTGCAGGAATTAAAGGTGTGCCACACCAGCTTTCCCATTTTCCTTCCAAACCTGTAGAACAGCTCAAAACACAACCCAACCTGTGATGACCCACCCACTGCCAGCCACCCACAGGGTTCTCTGAAGTCCTTCCCCTTGTGGACCAAGCCTGCCGCCACGCCTTCTAACAGATTCCCAGGATGCTTGTGGCCTTTCACCCTGGCTCACGCCGACTCCTAGCAAAGCCCTGCTCTTGGGACAAAGCACAGGATGTCCCACAGCCCGGCCTGCGCTGACCCAGGGCTCGTGAGCCAGCATCCACGGCTAACCCTGAACTTGCCCGGCCTGGGAGCACTGTGACGCCCAAGGGCTCCACGTGGCTGGCATTGTGGTGTCTGCTTGCTGCTCCTACCGCACTGACACAAGCCAGCAGGGAGCGTGGACTCAGCCCCAGGATGGATGCCACCACAGCCATGGTGTGGTCCAAGGCACGTGTGTCCCCCAGGCTGTCAAAGAGCACAGACACCAAGGACGTGTGTGGGCAGGGCGTGTGTGTGGGGGACAGTGCCAAGCACCGACATCCCCACAACACGGACAAGGAGTTGTGGCTCAGCGTGTGGGGAGGGGCAGCAGGTCGAACAGCCTTCTGCGGTCACCAGGCCCTGTGTGCCCCCACCCACTTGCATGTTCTTAGTGTCCTCAGCACTAAACCAGACACCAACGGACTCCAACGCACAGCACAGGTCAGGACACAGGTCATCTCTGGATGCTGACAGTGCGTTCCTAGACATTATACCCACGCCACAGCTTCTCAAAGAAACTGTTTTTTGAAAACATTTTCCACTTACTAATTTAACGCTTCACGCTTCAACCGTACAAATCACGTATTCTCCTAGTGACCTTGCTCTAACACACTGACTCGTGTGCAGTGACTTCATCCTGCAACTCCCAGTTCAACCCCCCACCCTGCGCACATGGTGCCAACATGCTAAACTCACACTGACGATCTACGCTCCCCGGTCCTGCAGCACACGTGGGCGGTGACTCAGAAAATCCAGGCAGGCAAAGTCAATGTATTTGCAACAATTTTTTCCCTCCAGCCAATGGCTGGTAAGTCCTCTCCCAGTGCACATTAAACACACACTTCGCTTCCAGATCCGAACTGTACATGTTAGGATTCAGATGCAAGCAAGGTAACTTACATTCTACACGTTATACATAACATACATTAAGTTCAGAACAGCTGAACTTACACAGGATGCTAACACTTGGCCAAGCACATACAGTGTAGTTTACAAGGCACACTAGACCTAGGTGAGCTGCTGGTGCAGTTTAGCGACTAAGATCTGTCTTACTCAAGGTCCCCCTTTCCATGTCACTCTTCGACCTTTCACCTTCTCTCAAGGCAGGAGCATCGTGTGAAGACAACCGTGCGTGGCAGGGGAAGGAGCGCCTCGGTGAACTGGGCTCGCAATGCACGCCCAAGGAAGACAGCTCAGAGACTAAGTGCTACAGGCCAGCGCTGATTGGATCAAACTCACAAAACAGACCTCATCCTAACAGCTTCAGGTCTGAGCACCCCAGCCCACCATGGCCTACATCTAGTCACCCTGGCCGGTTCCTTCACTCACACAGCCTGCAAACAGCCTTTGAGATACAGAAATCAAAAGCAAGGGGCTTCACCTCGTCACCTTTAAAGCCTGGAGAGTGCTGGACAGCAGCAGGCGAACACAGAACACCTCCCTACAGCGCCCACTTGACAACACTGAAACAAAAGGTGGTGAGAGGGCCACACCTTCCTACCATGCCACCTGTCAGCTCTGCACTTTCACCCAATTTCTGAAGACGTATGTGCAGGGGATTCTCTGCCATACACACAAGCACACCTCCATCTCTTCATGGCAACAGGCTCTGGTTCCCTCGTTGACACTGGCCAGCCAAACCACAGGTGGGGCAGACGCTACTGTCCTGGTTCAAGGACATCAAACATTTCCACCTCTTGACTCCTCACCTAACACTGGGTCACCAGTCACCTGTCAGCCGGTCCGCTCCACAATGCAAACACACACAGAACAAACGGAGGCGGGGACACTGATGGGCTGACTTAAGGCTAAGAGCAAAGGCAATAAGGAACCAACACTGAGAAGCTTCGCTCTGTCCATGGCTCTAAATGCTCACAAACAGGGATGAGTTCACTGGCTTAGATATTTGAAATACAACTTTATTCTGATTCTAAACGAAAAAGAATGGGAATGACAGTAACAAACAAGATTTCACCACCGAATATTGTGATGTGACTGTAGCAGTCTTATATTTGAAACTCAAGAAGGAAAACAACTGCGTTCCAAACAGCTAAATATGCAGGTCCAAAAAATGAAGGTTTAACTGCCACATTCACTCCGAAACCCATTCATCTCCTTCAGCATCCCAAAGATGAAGCACATGTCTGCTTAGCTAGATAACAAAGTGGCACACACGCGGCACCGCTGACATCACAGGACAGTTGCCTATAAAACTAGACTTCTGACGCCGGCCCCGCTTCACGTCCTCACAGGTCGTCATCCTCATCCGGGAGAGCAGTGGTCTGAGCAACCTAGGGGAAAGAGACCGACGTCAGCACTCAGCTCTGAGCCACCAGGAGCGAGGCTGGCCCAAGCAGAGAGCGAGCGGCAGGTACCTCTAAGTCGTGCTCATACTGCGCTGCCAAGGCTGGGTCCATGACGACCTCTGGTGGGGCAAGAGCGGGCATGGCGACGAACTCCAAGTTCGGGTCTCCGATGAGCTTTCTGGCGAGCCAGAGGAAGGGCTTCTCAAAGTTGTAATTACTTTTGGCAGAAATATCGTAGTACTATTTAAAACAAAAGTGCAGTAAGTCATTAGAAATTTCTTTACTGAAACCGTGACAGATTCTTAGGACAAACTGGCTGTAACCATTTCGCAGGAGGCCAAGTCTAGCGTACCTGAAGATTCTTCTTTCGGTGAAAGACAATCGATTTTGCCTTCACTTTCCTGTCCTTAATGTCCACTTTGTTGCCACACAACACGATGGGGATGTTCTCACACACTCGCACCAGATCTCTATGCCAGTTGGGCACGTTCTTGTAGGTAACTCTGGATGTCACGTCAAACATGATAATAGCACACTGAGCTGAAATAGACAGCCACGGCCATTAATCCAACACGAGTACTTTGTGCAGAACCACACACACGTCCAGGAAGCCTCGGCCTAGGCCTGACCCCATCAGCTCCATCTATCCCCTAGGGTTACAACCCCGGCAAGACTCAAAACGTTCAACATTTTTGTGGGTGCACCTAGCACGGACCACAACCCCTAGAGCCTTCAAGACCAGCTTAACGCCCGAAATGTCTTCTCCACCCCACTACTTCATGAAATTGGACCCGAGCAAACAAGCCCTGCAGATACGCTTCCCTTAATCTGAGCAAGATCTAGAAACACATAACATACATACGAGAAATTTTTCCGGAAAGATCTTCCAAGGCCTACTCCACTAAGAAATAGCATACCTTTACTGTAAAACGCGAGCCATTTTACGTGCCGATCTGCAGGGACCACCCCACGATTAAGAGCGTGAGAGCAGCAGCACACTCGTGCCACACGGACAGGAGGGTTTAGAGGGACGCCGGGCGGGGA